CGGGGGCGGTATGGTCCATTCACATTGGGAAACATGGATTGTAAAGTGTTATCTTTGTGAGCTATGTTATGCTGATTGTCCTTGATCCTAAGCACCTAGGCATGACTCATTCTTTGAAAGTATTTGACTAAGAATTTTTCTACCTCTGCCTCCTGTCTGCTCCATCACATGTATGGGTATATTTGCAACATGTAAATGTATAGAACTGTCCTCTGAGAACCCTATATATTGTTAGAGTTCCGTTCCTTTTCTGAGCTGTTTGTCTGTGAACATAAATTCATTTGCTCCCCTAAGTTTCCTGCCTGATCTTTCGAATTGTTCTTGGTGGTTTTGATTCTCATTCTTTGGTGCATGATAAGGTTCGGCATCTTTGCATGTGCATTGTATAAATCCTTTGGGTCCGTAACCAGATGTCTTGCCCATCTTTTGGTCAGGTTGTTTTTGTATTATTGAGTTGTAAGAGTTTTATTACATGTTCTGAATGCAAGACCTCTACCAGATACATGACTTAGAATGACTTTTTCATTTTGTAGCTTGCCTTGGTGTTGATTGGTAGGAAAAGTCTTGAGTTCTCGTTCCCCTTCTTGGCCGTTTTCAGTACAGTCTTCGTGACCGTGACAGCCGCTGTCTTGTGCTGGAGGACGTGCTTCTGGCACCCAAGCGGCCTCGGCCGTGCTGTTTCCTTTCGGTCACAGTCAATGTATCCCTCAACCTGGAGTTTTCTTTCAGCGGGTGTTTTGTAGGTCTCAGGGTATAAGTTTTTCACTTCGTATTAAATTGATTCCTTCATAAACCTTGACACTTGAAGGTTCTTCCCCTGCCCTGTCCTCCATTGTACATGTGCTGCCCTTGCAATATGAGAACCCTCACTCCAAATGCACTGCCACCAAGTCCATGCCGACTCAGTGACCCTACAGGACTAGGTAGAACTGCTCCCTTGAGTTTCCAAGACTGTGTCTTGATGGAAGTAGAAAGCCCCCTTTTCTCCCCCAGAGCAACTAGTGGTTTCAAACGGGTGACCTATCAGCAGCCTTGAATGAACACCCAACCACTGTGCTGCCAGGGCTCCTCGCGGGGAGCTCTGCTGCCCATCTTGGTCAGCATGTTACTGGTTTGATCAGTCTGACTGCACACAAGATCAGCTTCAGGGTTGTTCTGTTACCAACAAGAAACCTACCGAGAATGGTGTTTTCCTCTCCATTACTTGTTTCTAAGCCTGGCCTATTTGATCGCTATTTCCAGCCTTATGCAAGCTTACATCTTCAAAGTGGGGTGAAGGTGGGATTCCATTTTCATTTTTCAGTCAAAGTTAGATGTGAAGGATGAGAGCAAACTCACAGCACATTTCCATCCAGTCTCTGTCTCAGGGACCCTGCAGGGTAGCAGAACTACCTCAGGGCTCCCAGAGCAGCCTGCCGCGTCATTCAGTCTTTCTGTTAGCAGCTGACCTCTGAACCACTCTGCTGCCAGGGCCCTTCAGGATTAGGCAGATGCCTGGAAAGAAGTAGTCTTGAATCACGTGTTAAGAAATTGGAGGTGAACTCAAGACAACTTTGTTGCATAGGTAATTTTGTTAGTGTTCCATTTATTTATTTATTCATTCATTCATTCGTTTGTTTGTTTATTTTGTTTAGTGCTCCTTTTAAAAAACATTTCAGGGTACCCTGAGGCCATTGAAATGTTTGTGTGTGCACGTGTATCCGAGCTGTCAGGAGAGTTTAACTTATTCCAGCCTGAGCATGAGAGTTAACTTTACATTATCAAACTTCATCCTGTCTTGGCCCAAATGTAATACTTTCCTCTTGAATCTGTTAGCACATTCCTGTGTGGGTTATACTTATCTTTATATCGGAAAAGGGAAAGACAATCTTTTTTTTTTTTTTTGGTCGTGAAGCAAGGGACAAAAAAGCATTAGTATCTTGTCAAAGTCAGGGTTTAAGTTTGAGTCTAGGCCTCCTGTTTTATCTAGTTCCATGCTTTGTTTTTTTGAAACAGAATCTTCTTTAGTGGACTGCCCTTTGTCCTTGTTTCTTTGTGATCTGAGGAGACAGGTTTTTGGTTGTGATGGGACCATTATGTAACTGTCTCTTTTATGATTTGTCTTTTTTTGGAGAGCGAGGCTATTTCTGATTCCTAGTGCCCAGAAAGACAGAATAACCTGAGTCCTTCAAAACCTGCTTCCCCAGCTGCCACAGTTTAGGGGATGTTCTCTAGACAGGACATGGGGCAGAAGGAAACATAGGGCCTACTGGAACCACCTATAGACCTAGGTCTCAAAATGGATCTTTCTGCTTGGAGTAGCAGTTTCCTCTGGCTGCAGGTCTTATCAGCTGAGTCCTGCTCTCAGATGGAGATGGGTTAGTCTGGACTTCTAAGGGAAATAGTAGCAGTGTTAGCCCACGGATCCGAGCAGCATTGTGAGGTTAAAGATTAGATCAGATGCCAAGTGCAGGAGGATGCTGAAGGCCTGTGATCAAGCGACTAGTGTCCTGCCCTTCAGATGGATGTGGGTTAATCTTCTAAGAGCAAAAGTTTGTTCAGTTCATCATGGTATTTCATAGGCTTGCAAGATTGAAACAGGAGGGTAAACCAAGTGTGGGAAGCCTCAGTGCAGCTTCAAGTCTCCTATGTCATTCTTGAGGATTTCCAATCTTGGGGAACAGTGTTGTCATCTTTGAGCTACTGCTGGCTTGAAACAGCAAGCAGGGGTGTCTTGAGCATGCTCAGTCAGAATAGACAGTGATCACTGGCCTCCATGAAAGCCTGCAACATCCTGGTGATGAAACTGCATCCTCAGGCTCAGAAGGTGCCACTATATTGGGTAAGGCTAGGGAGTGCCCTACTTTTCAGTGAGGTTTCCCCCTGCTAGCAAAATTGAGGGGGTTTAACTGAAACCCTGGAAGTACTGACCTGTGAGACGAAAGACTGCCAACTTCCAGGACGTGCGCTGCCTGCTGCTTAACTTGGTAAATCGGAGCCCAGGGGCCCAGCCCCACTGATTTGAGTACTGAGGAAAAATATCCCCGTGAGCAGCTGCTTCACTGCAGATCTGGGGTCCTCAAGCCCAGCTGGCCTGAGAGGCCCACCCAAGGACCCAGAATTTGTTCACATGGCATGGGTGATGTGGATAGCCTGATACGAGTATAACTTGCAGGAGTGGAAGGGAAAGTGAGACTATTGAGTACAAGTTCCCAGGAAGTCAGACTACTGGGACCATCAAAATCTGCCGTGTATCATTTATCTTTATATTAATAACTGGTCATTGCTGCAAATGTGTAGTTTTCCATTCACTCAAAAAACTGCTCATTAAAGGCATTTTTAATTAAATTCCATGCTGATTTTAAATAAATGCGATTTTCTTTATTTAAATACCACTTCTAGACAGACACATCGTCTTACCCTATTGGAGCCTTTATCTTTAGTGTCAGGTCTGGGAACTTTCTGGTATTGTTGCTAGTGCTCTGTTCCTCACAGTGCCTGCTGTGGGAAAGCCTGAAAGTCAGAAGCAAGGCAGTGGGTGGTGTTTGTTTAGGGAAATAATGTCTGCACAGAATAATATCCCGTATAACAAATGCTCAAATGAAAGCTTTTTCTCCATTATTAGAAATTAGAAAACTGGTTGTTAAAAACGTGTTGAATGCACAATCGTTGTGCTCTTGCTGTCTTGGAGTGAACGCCAGATGGATGTGAGCACAAAGGTGGGCTGCATGAACCCACGAGCTGCTCTGTTGGGAGAAAGATGTGGCTGTCAGTTTCCGTAAAGAGCACAGCATCGGGAATGCTGTGGTTTGGACTATTTTAGTGAGGACTTCATTATTAAGAGAAGATTTTTGCCTGGGACATGGCCATAATTCAAGATGCATAGATGGATCAGGTGTAGAAATTGTTGCTTTTCTCAATTTAGGAGAAGAAAACTGCAGTTTGATGGATCTCATTCCATTTCTAAGTGTGGAACTTAACTAGAGAAACATTCTTTTTGTCATCCCCAGTCAAATTAGAGCGAGAAGCTGAAGAAGAACGCATGCGGAAGCACAAAGCTGCTGCTGAGAAGGCTTTCCAGGAAGGAATTGCCAAAGCAAAGCTAGTCATGCGCCGGACTCCCATTGGGACAGATCGGAACCACAATAGGCAAGTTAGACCAGTTATAGGTGTTCAGTGAGTCTCCGGTTAGAAGTGTTTGGGTATCTTTTGCTTTCCTTTAGATGGTAATTTGTCTTAGCCCAGAGTTTGAACAGCAGAGGCGCACTCTCCACCGTGGCTGTGCATGCTCTGTTTTGTAATCATCTCCCACTCTGAATCTAGGCCGCATCTCACTGGTGCGTGTGGTTGTGCTTTGTAGGTACTGGCTCTTCTCAGATGAAGTTCCAGGATTGTTCGTTGAAAAAGGCTGGGTACACGATAGCATTGACTACCGAGTCAGCCACCGCCGCAGAGATCATCTGGAGGCTCCCGACGAGGAGTACTGTCCCCGCAGTGAGTGTCTTCAGGGTGTGCTTGCCTGCTCGGGTCAGGCCAGGGTTATGGATCATAAAGCCTTCTTAGGGAGAATGTGCACTGATTAGAAACAAGCATTTGTTTAACAACTGTGCTCATACATAGTCTGAGATGATAAAAGAGCTTGAACATTAAGCTATTTGGATGTTAGGATTTGTAGGAGTGGTTTTCAAACTTTGTTCTTTGAAACTGTGTGTGATACGTACCTTAAGGGTTGGGGTAGAGGTATGGGGGAGGACAGCGATTTTTATATTGTGTCTCAAATGTACAGTGGACAGTTGTACAAATATACCAATGTCCGTAGGAATCAGACGAGTATTGGCATGATCACCTGAGAGCAGATTGGACCGTCCCATCTCTTCACTGTGGACCACTCACCTGTCTAGTTCTGGCAGGGCAGGGTCTCTTTCAGGGAAAGTGGAACACTCTAAGGGGGAGAGAGTGGGGCCGCAGGGAATACAAATGGTAGTGTCAAGTAAGACTTCAAATACCTTGATGCCTAAATTGGGCTTTGAAAAGTCAAATTACAATAGATTTATATTAATGCCATATATTAACATGCAGCAGCTGTATCTGAAGTTTGAAGCCTCCAGGGGTAAGTTGGTAATAGTGTATGCATTTTAGTTGTCTCTGCTTCACCATAGGCTCCTTTTCTTTTTAACATTATGTACAAGGAGTAAATTCTGGTTTTGATTTGAAACAGAGTTATTTGGTCTTCCCTCATTCTTAAATTGTGATGCTCCTGAACTTCGAGCTATTCATCTATAAAGAGCAAACATCTCAGGTACATGCTGCACGATAGTTAAGAGAAGTTAGCAGGTGTGCGTGCAGATGCATTTAATAAACGGTATCTGTATCGTTGGGTTTGGCAAGCTTACTGCTTAGGTTTGGAAGTAGGAATTGGATATTTACTATATTCCACCTAAAGTGTATAAATGTTTCTTAGGTAAGAAAGCAAACATGGGCAGAAATAGCAGCCTGAATCTACAGCACGGAGCAGGGGCCGACGCTGCTGGGGAGCGCACGATTCCGAAACAAGGACAGAACTTATGGTAACGTGAGCACTCCTCTCGAGGCTCTTTCTGCTGCTTTGCCCAGTTCACAGGAGAGGCAGTTAATGACAGTGCCGTTGCTGAGTTAAGTGCGAAGGTCACGTTGTATGACTTTGGTTTCTTGGCTATCTAAACTCATTGCTTTAAAAGCAGGGTTGTTTGATAGAAATACTTGTTTTTGTAAGGTTTAGAATTTTGTTTTTTTCCCTGTGTATTATCTGACTGATCTTCCTTCACAGTGGTGATGTTCCTCAATGTGTTCTGGAATGGATGTGTTTCAGATTTTTATTAAACAAAAAAATAGGTATCCTTGGTCTTACTCTGTGTGCAGTTCTCCTTTTCGGCAGAGAGCTAGGTTTTGAGGATCCCAAATACTTAGTGATTCTCTGACCTAACTCCTTTAACTGTAATTACTTTCGATCTACTCTTGAAAGGCTTATAGACAATTGTGCCAATTAATGTGAAATTATCAAATTGACCTCAATTTATATTTTAATAGAGAAAATTAGCTCCAATGTCCTAGGATAAATATAAATCGTATAGAAGCAGTAACTTTCTATGGATATTATGCTATGAGCAGGGCTGAGATGCTCTCAACTCCTCCTACTGCCTTAGAGCCTTTTCTCGGTGCTGCCTTTTGGTTCTCAGAATTACCGGGTCTCTCTTGTATCTACAGGTTTTTATGTGACAGTCAAAAGGAACTGGATGAGCTGCTAAGCTGCCTGCACCATCAGGGAGTAAGAGAAAGCCAGCTTAAGGAGAGATTAGAGAAGAGGTATGGATCCCATCCTGTTGTCTTCAGCACTAGCCCACTGCCACTGAGTCTGCTCTTGACTCAGAGTGGCCCTGTCTACTTATTTTACCTAGAAAGAAATGTAAACATATGTGTGGTAAAAATAACATGTAACACATGTATAGTAAAAAAAATATCTCTAACACCTTTTTGGATCACTCAATAATTTGTTGTCACATCGTGCTTACTTGGAAAGTATATTTCTCAAACTATATCTTACAACATGATTATGCTGAGTGAAATAAGCTAGTCACTATGGGCCATAGATTATCTGATTTCCCTTACCTGAAATGTTTAGAATAAAGTTGGGGAGTGGCTGCTGGCAAAGATGATATTTCACACTGAGGGTGATGGACATGCTCTGGGATTAGATACCCTGTTTCCCTGAACATCAGACAGTCTTATATTAATTTTTGCTCCCAAAAATGCGCTAGGTCTTATTTTCAGGGAATATCTTATTTTTCCATGAAGAGTACAGTACACATTTATTGTTGAACCACAAAAGGGGAAATTCATTACCTGTATACGGTACGGTAGTAGGTGTCATCACAGCCAGCATAACCAGACAAACTGTGAATCCTACAGTATCAAGAATTTGTTACTACCATTATTTCCATGTGCAACAATCTATGGTACATTCACTCA